GGGGAAGGAGGGGTACTCCTGGGCTGAGTAAATCCAAACCCACCTTTCTCTTACTCCCTGTCCCTTCCCTGCCTTTTACTTTCCTCTTCTTTCCCACCCTCTACAGCACTAAGTCCAGTTAGAGAAGTCACAGCTTGTTTCAGGAATAAGCAGCATGCAGAAGTAATAATGTTTAGAAAGTATATCCACACACATTTTTTTTTAGCTTTACAACATCCTGACAGCTATGGTAAACATGGTTTCCCATATTACAGATGAAAGTTAGAGGAGAAGTTATTTGTCTGAAGTCACAATTAACCAGGTTTTCTGACTCCTAGTCAACTGTCGTCTTTAGTCTGCATGGCAGATTGAGGGACCGCCAGCAAAGAATGTTCATGTTCATGTACCTTCTAATCCTGCATGGGCCCAGAAGGGGGGATTTTCATTTCTGTTCATCCCTGAAATGTCTTCTGATTCCCTGGCATTTTTGCTTTTCTCAAGGGTACAGACTAGGCCTGAGATGGCCTTCCTTATATGCAGCACCTCATCCTATGTTGCCTATCTCTTCTTTTCAGGCAGGGAAATCATATGAACAGTTAAAAGAAGAGCTGGGAGACACTGCTGCTATCATGAGAATCGCTGCTGTAAGTTTCTTGGAAGAGCAATTCACACAGGCCACCAGAGCTGAAGACACAGCCATGCCACAGATGCCAGTGGGTGAAACCCGATCATGTCCTTAGTATCACTCTAGTGGCTATTCTGCCATGAAGATGGTTTTAATATATAGAAAAGCAGGTCTCAAAGCCAAGTTCCTTATTTTACTGCCGTTCAGAATTTAGAACAGACTTGCTGGTTTTTTGTTTGTTTGTGTGGTTAACTAATTTTATTATTCAACTCTCTCTTGTCATTCAGGACAGATTAAATTTACTGGCAGCATTTTTCAGAAGTAATAAGTTTCTAACCCAAATGCTTATCCATTTCTGACAATAGAGTCCACAGAAATTCAGGTCATTACCCCTATTTTCATGGCTAAAAGAAGTGGAGCCTCTGGCCAGGAATTCAACAGTAATTTAACATCAGTGCATGGCACCAGCTGTCCAAACCAACTGGCAATTATGTCTTTTATGCTCTACAAATTCAAGATTCCAAAGCTAATGGTGATGTAGTATCTTTAAAATGTATTTAAGAAAAGTATGATTTCAACGGAAGTCATTTAAAGGCTGGAAATGCAGAGCCTAAGTTAAGTGCCAAGAGAAGGAATGTGATCACATTATTTAAATAAGATTTAAGCACGGCACTGATGCTAAACTGGCTATACAGGATTTACCTGAGACTTATTCAGTCAGCTTTCCCAAGGACCCTAAATCTGAATATTTTAGATTCCCAGGTGATTCTGACATGCAGCCAGGTTTGGGGACAACTGTTCTGAAAGATAATTACAAAGGGTGAAATTTTAATATTATACACACAGAACTTCGATTGCACAGATCTGAACAGTTTTTTATCCTGTATCCACGTTTTTATCTTATCTTACCTAGGACATGAGGAATACAACCCTCTCCCTGAACTCTGAGACAAAATATTACCCTATAGAAGTTCTAATGAAAAATAAGAATCAAGAGTTGCCTGAGGATGTGGACCCTGCCAAAAAGGAGGTGAGGAGCTGAAGGAACTATGTCTGATGCAAATAGAGCTCTCCATGTTTAAAGCACCTGTCTTAACATATGGCCTCAGGCAGGTCTGGAACACTGTAAGTACTCAATAGACATTTGAGCTACCCAGTAGCTCAAGCCAAAAATCCAGGGCTCTTTCTTGATACTTTCTTCTCACCTCCCACATCAATCCATCAGCTAGCTTCTGTCCACTCCTCTCCATCTCTCTGCTGCCAGTCTGGTCCAGCTATCATGGACTACTGCCATCGTCCCCCAACTGGTTTCTGTACCATCCCTACAATCTGTTTTTCTCGTAACAACCAGTGGGCTTTTAAAAACGGATGACACTGTTTTATTTAAAACATCTTGAATGGCCCTGGTCGGTTTGGCTCAGCAGTTAGAGCCTGGCCTGCACACCGAAGGGTTGTGGGCTTGATTCCCCGCTCAAGGACACATACCTAGGTTGCAGATTCTATCCCCAAGCCCAGCTGGGGTCATGCAGGAGGCAACCAATCAATGTGTCTTTTTTACATTGATGTCTGTCTGTCTCTCCCTTTCTCCCTCTCTCTCCTTTCCACTCCATCTAAAAAAAAAAAAAAAAATCAATGAAAAAATATCTTCCAGTGAGGATTATCAAAGCAACAACAACAAAAAACCCCACTTTGAATGACTCCCTACCGCACGTAGAAAAGAATCCAAAGTCCTTTTCATGGCCTCCAAGGCTCTGCCCAACCTGCCCCTTGCCCCGCTCTGATTTCATCTCACACACCACTACCCTCTTCACTTAGCCCCCTTCAGCCAGTGGCTGCTTTTCTTCCAACATGCTCATTCCAACCTTTGAGACTTTACACTTGCTATTGCTCCTGCTAGAAAAAATCGTAACAAAGCCAACTCCTCATTATTTACGTCTCAGCTCAAACATCACCGCCCCACGAAGGCCTTCCCTGACTACCCTACCTACCTAACACTGCTTCCCTGATGCCCTCCAGTTCCTTTATACTTGTCATTGTCTGTTTCCTCCTTGTTTTAACAGCTAGGACCATCATATTCTTGTTCACCATCACATTCTCAGCTTTTTACCACCTAAAACAGTACCTCGCAGATAGTAAGCACTTACTAAGTTTTGGTTAAGTGAATTAACATATTCATGTTGAATGAATTAAATTATTCTCCCCTTGAAGGATTTGATTTGGGAAGGGTCTGTAGATTTTCCACAATGTCTGATCCAACCAACTCCTGAACACTAGACTACAACTTTCTTAAAAATAGAGGTCTTATATTAATTACTTTACTTGGATAGAAAATATTCATTAAACATCAATAAATAAATGTTAGGAGAATTTTATGCCTTCAACAAGATCCACCTGATCTTGCATTTGAAATGTCTGGGCCCTGGCCAGGTAGTTCATTTGATTAGTGCATCCTCCCTATACACCAAGGTTGCAGGTTCAATCCCTGGTCAGGGCACACACAAGAATCAACCAATGAGCCCGGCCAGTGTGGCTCAGTGGCATTGTCCCATGGACTGAGAGGACCCTGCCAGGGCACATGCCTGGGTTTTGGGCTTGATCCCAAAAGGGGACATGTAGAAGGTAGCTGATCGATGTATCTGTCTCACATTGATGTTTCTTCTCTCCCTCTCTAAAAAAAAAATTAAAAATATATTTAAAAAAAAAAACAAGAATCAACCAATGAATGAATAAGTGGAACAACAAACTGATGTGTCTTTCTCTTTCTGTTTCTCTCTCTCCCCCTCCCTCCCTACCCCTTACTTCCTCTCAATTTTTAAAAAATGTCTGGATAGAAATGGAAGATATGGGTAAAAAGCAAGGAAAATCATCACTCAATTTAGTTCTCCATTTAGCCAAAACCTAATGTTGAGAAGTCATATATAATCTATAACTCATTTCTTGTCCTTCCGGCAAGAAACAAGTGCCAGGTGAAACTGTGGGAGCAGTGAATCCAGTCAGTTCCTCCACAGGCCAAGATGGGACTCTACAACCTGAAGAACTCTCTAGTGGATCATTTAAGTCTATTACAGACTTTCTAAAATTCAGCCCTGGCCAGTTTGGCTCAGCGGTTAGAATGTCAACCTGTGGACCGGAGAGTCCTGGGTTCGGTTCCCACTAAGGGCATGTATCTTGGTTGCAGTTTGTCCCCAGTCCCAGTTGGGGTTGCGTGGGTGCAACCACTCAATGTGTCTCTCTCACATCGATGTTTCTCTCTCTCTCTTCCCCCTTTCTCCTTCCCGCTCTGTCTGAAGATAAATGCAAAAATGTCCTCAGATGAGGAAAAAAATAAAATAAAATTCGTTCTACTTCCACCTTCAAGGACCTCACCCCCTTAGCCCCACTCTCCCAAACTCTGTTGGCACTGATAGATGCCATGTCTTCCTTCTAACTGGAAACTCTGTTTTCTCTCTTAGAATTACCTCTCTGAACAGGACTTTATTTCTGTGTTTGGCATCACAAGAGAGCAATTTGTTGCTCTGCCTGGCTGGAAACAGCTCCAAATGAAGAAAGAAAAGGGGCTCTTCTAAGGCAAGAAAGTATCCGCCTATTGGGAGAGTATATAGTGCCTATATCAGGAAAGAATGTATCACCAATTGTTGCCTAACATTCAGCTACTTCATTTACAAAAAATAGGGTCTGCAAATCACAGCATGTTCTCCATTTTCCTCATCCCTACATTTCTTAATTATATAACTAAAATGTTAACTACCCACTTTTTTATTTTTATGACCATCTGACTGAAGCCTCAGCAGAAAGCACTAAAACTACATGAATCTGGAGAAGTAAAAAGTAAGACAACAAAAAAAACAAGTTTAAAATGTTTTCATATTAAGGCAAAAACCTAAGTCTGTTATTTCCATAACCTATTTAACCCATAAATCATTGAAGTTAATTACATGTATACCCCAAAGCCAAAATCTAAATGCCCAAATCTGTATGTGCCAGAGCTTTTAACTTTTCAAATAAAGATATCTGTATGAGCAAATGGGAGTTATTTTCAGTATTATGGGTTTGCCTATTATAGTAATTATCTGATGTATTGCTGGGAGAAATGTCTCAGCACTATTGGGTGAGCTCTCTGGATAACTGGACCACTGTAATTCCTGTTTTCCGGCACAAGAATGCCAAAATCTGCCTTACAGCTGTCCAGGAAACCTTAGTCCCCACCCACCCACACCCCATTATCCAAAAGAAAACTAGGGTCATGTGTTATTAATTTCAGTAATGAGGCCAGAACCAGTGTAAATACCACTGCAGAGAGCCTTCAAAGCACACTATAGACATCAACAAATGAACCACATTTTCCAAAAAACTCTAAGTTTGAGTCAACAATTCCAAAAGAAGCCATGTGGTAGGAGTAATGTAACTGGGAAGTTCCAGGATAGCAGCATAGTCCAAAGCATCACAAGAGAGTTCCATGTCACAGAAGAAGTAAGACAGATGAGTTAGAATCATTAGAGACACCATAATAAATCTATGTTAAAGAGAGCACATTGATGCCTGTTTTCCCCAAGACTGTCAGTCACTTCAATAAGGCCCACCTGTTGTTTTCTAAAACTTGTCATAAACAAGACACTAAAAAGCTAAACCCAGCATTACGCAAACAAGATTTTACTCTCTTTATTATATAACAATTTTATTTAATAACTTCACCCATGAAGTATAATTGCATCATAAACTCAAATGAAAAACAAATCCTGGGTTTGAAGGAGCTTAGGAAATAACTTCTTTTTGTAATAGTGCCCCACACTAAGAATAAACATTTCCTTCTGGGCCAAAAGTCCCTGGAACCTATTCGGACTCTGCTGCCTCTTCGCTTTCTCCACATTCAAAACGCACAAAGTCTACTACAGACACTCCCTGGGGCTGCACATACTGTCCCAACGTGATAGAGGGATCCAGCAAGTATGGCTGAGAAAGCATTTTGGTTTCTGCCTCTCCCCCAGGCTCATCATCTAGGGAACCAACAGAGAGAGGGGCCATGCCTACCACATGCTGCCCAAGGCGGCGGCCAAGGTCTTCAAGGTTTGCTTTCCACTCAGATGTCTCGCAGATGACCAGGGCCCCATACTTCCCCAGCACCAGGTTGTGGAGTGAGGGACTGTGCATTGCTCCATGGACATAGGAGCCAACATAGAACCCAGTTGGCACCTTCACCCATGCAGCTCGTTTAAGAGTCATGTTTTCTCCCAGTTTCCCTATAAAAAAACAAAAACACACTTCCAGAACAGGATGCTTATGGTAGTACCAAAACATACACAGAGGCGGCCAAGCTTGGGAGACAGTCCTCTGCATTTACATTGTGGATATGCTGTAAGATGGAGCTGCCATTCTCAGTTTAAGGAGATGTGCAGGGAGGAGGTGGGGAAATGGAGGGTGCCTTTATGGAGCACCAACTATGTGTCTGGCACACTACATTTAAAAACATAGACTACATTGCCCAGCCGGTGTGGCTCAGTGGACTGAGTGTTGTGTCATGGACTGAGAGGTTCCATTTCGATTCCCAGTCATGGCACATGCCCAAGTTGTGGACTCGATCCCCAGTAGGGGGCGTGCAGGAGGCAGCCAATTGATGTTCTCGCTCATGTCAATGTTTCTCCCTTCCTCCCTTCCACTCTATTTAAAAAAAAAAAAATCAACGGAAAAATATCCTCAAGTAAGAATTAATACACACAAAAAGAAAACATAGACTGTGGTGTCACCCAGACCCTGGACTCAGGTCTCATTTCTGCATCTTACAAGCTATATGACCTTAGGCAAGTGACTTAATGATATAAACCCATTTACTAATTTATCAAGCCTTAGATTCTTCATTTATACAATGGAGATGATACCACTTAACCTGAAAGCACGGTTATTGAGAGAAATAAATAATATATATAAAAGCACTCATTATAGTATTTGGCACATAGTGAATGCTCAACTGCTGGCTATTGTTTTCAACTTAGGCTTAGACAACTTAAGTAACCTACTGGCACAAGGTCACATAGCTAATACATAGCAGAGCTAGAATTAAAACTCAGATCTGACTCCAAAACAATTGTTTTTTCCCCACCAAATTACCAACCCTCCCAAAAGCCACCATAACTGACAGACAACTCCTGATCATCCATTGTATCAAGGAAAAGTCCACAACTAAAAGCCAAAGAAAATCCAAAACCCTGTGTCATCTGATAGTTTCAACTTCCTCATCATAAAAATAAAAATAAAATAAAAATTTTAAGAGGCACTTACAAGAACCAAAAATAGATTTCGGTATTTCCCTTCCTCTCAGGATGCTCTACCCTCCAAGAGAAGTCCAAGTAAGTCAAAAGGTCGAAAGGGGTAGGAGAATAAACAAAGGGGTCTGGATAAATATCCCTGAATTAGCCATAAGTTATATCTAAAAGTCACAAAAGGGCCCTGGCCAGTTTGGCTCAGCGATTAGAGCGTCGGCCTGCGGTCCGGAGAGACCCGGGTTCAGTTCCCGCTAAGGGCACGTACCTCGGTTGCAGTTTGTCCCCGGCCCTGGTTGGTCGTGCGGGTGGCAGCCACTCGATGTGTCCCTTCACATTGATGTTTCTCTCTCTCTCCCTTCCTCTCTCTCCCTCCCGCTCTATCTGTACAAAAAATGGAAAAATATCCTCGGGTGAGGATAAAAAAATAAATAAAAAATAAAAAGTCACAAAAGGGCCCTGGCCAGCTTGGTTCAGTGGTTAGAAAGTTGGCCTGAGGATCAAATATTCAAGGGTTTGATTCCAGTCAAGGGCACATACCTTGGTTGTGGTTCGGTCCCAGGCCCTGATTGGGGTCGTGAGGGAGGCAACCAGTTGATGTGTGTCTCTCACATTGATATTTCTCTTTCTCTCTCTCCCCCTCACACTGTAACTGAAGATAAATGGGAAAATATTCTTGGGTGCGGATTTTTTAAAAAAGTCACAAAAGGAAGTATCCAGAAACCAGAATCTTAAAACAGTTCAAAGCATCTACCCAATAATTAATTCCCAGGAACTGACAAGAGGCTGAAAAACCCAGTTCTTCCAGAAATCTTAATAAGCCCCATACTCAGCTGTCTGCCTGGTGTCTCATGTATGACTCACTGAAACATTACACACACTACAAGAAGACCTGATAAAAATTGATGCCTTGACTGGAAATGTCAGATGAGCAATAAATTCCCAGCAAGCTCAAATTCCAGCCTTATTTTTCTCCTTCCATCAAGGACAACTAGAAAGAAGGCAAAATCCCTACTGGTCCCACGACAATGATCCAGACACGGTTTCTATAGCCAACAGGTTATGAAAAACTGTAAAACTGTACCTTCACAAGTTCAGGATCATATGATCTTTTTTTTTTTTTTTTTTTTTTTTTTTATCCTCACCCGAGGACATTTTTCCATTTTTTGTTCAGGTAGAGTGGGAGGGAGAGAGAGGAACAGAGAGAGAGAGAAACATCGATGTGAAAGGAACACATTGAGTGGCTGCCACCCGCACAACCGACCAGGGCCGGGGACAAACTGCAACCGAGGTACGCGCCCTTAGCGGGAACCGAACCCGGGTCTCTCAGGACCGCAGGCCGATGCTCTAACCGCTGAGCCAAACCGGCCAGGGCAGGATCATATGATCTTAAAAGAGAAACCAAATTCCTAAAATGATGCCCCTAAATTTTCCTGGATCCCTTTATAAAGATGGTGAAATGACCTCTGATATACCATTTTCCCCTATAGTGTATAGCAAAGTTGTCAACTAGAATAGGCCATTCTCTGCCTAAAGACATGCTTTGGCTGGTCAGCACAGTGATGCATGCAAGTGTTGAAATAATTTTAATTAGTTGCAAACGGCTAAAAACTGAGATTTTCTTTTTTATACAAATATAAATTATTTTAAAGAAACTTTAAAATTCTAACAACATGGGAATCCCATTTCCCCTACGGTAACATATGGCGAGAGCCTGGTAATGGTTCCCTTCAGCAGAGCATAACCTTTTCAGGGCCCTACTGCTCCTTACTGTCTAACACACAACCCACTAATCGTAAAATATTGGAAGCACATTCTTGTTATCTGACCCTTTTAAGCACATGAGCTTGCAGTTCTTGATCTGGATTTGGAGGGATATCAAAGATACCAAGAGATCCAGTTCTTAATTTCCAGTTTCCAGAATCCTGACAAATACTCACCAATTGCTAAGGCCAGCTGATCCTTGAGAGAGCCTTCCCTCTCAGGCCCAGTGGGAAGTTCAGAGAGCTCAGAGGAATTCAAGAAGCCCTAAGTGCACACACACAAAATGAACACAAGTCAGTTTATACTACTCAAATGATCAAAACACTAGGCAAATATAGCCTATTTCTCAGAAAATAATATAAGACAACTAAATACAGATGATATTCTCATTAAGCCAAGGACATTAAAAATTTATAACAGTTCCATTTTTATAAATATTTTATTCTATCACTACACTACCTCCAATTCCATCTCCTATCTTTTGACCTTTTTTTTTTTTTTTAAATATGTTTTTATTGATTTTTTTAGAGAGAGACAGAAACATCAATGTGAAAAACATCGCTCGGCCACCTCCTGCATGCCCCCTACTGGAGACTGAGCCTATAACCTGGGCATGTGCCCTGACCAGGAATCTGGCACACCTCAGTCTGTGGGACTATGCTCAATTCACTGAGCCACAATGGCTGGGTTGGCCTAACTTCTTAAATGTAGTTTCCTAGTATCAGGAACAATATTTTCATATGAATCATAAAATTTTAAAGCTAAAAAAATTTGCAGCCCAGTCAGTGTGGCTCAGTGGTTGAGAGTCAACCCATGCACCAAGAGGTCACTGGTCCGATTCCTGGTCAGGGCACATGCCCAGGTTGTGGGCCAAACCCCCAGTGGGGGGCATGCAGGAAGTGGCCAATTGATGTTCTCTTTCATCGATGTTTCTCTCTCTCTCTCTCTCTCCCCCTTCCTCTCTCTAAAAGCAATAAAGAGCCCTGGCCGGTTTGGCTCAGCGGTTAGAGCGTTGGCCTGCGGTCCGGAGAGACCCGGGTTCGGTTCCCGCTAAGGGCACGTACTTCGGTTGCAGTTTGTCCCCGGCCCTGGTCGGTCGTGTGGGTGGCAGCCACTCGATGTGTCCCTTTCACGTTGATGTTTCTCTCTCTCTCTCTCTCCCTCCCACTCTATCTGTACAAAAATTGCAAAAATGTCCTCGGGTGAGGATTAAAAAAAAAAAAAAAAAAAAAAAAAAAATAAAAGCAATAAAGAGAAAATAAATAAAAAAGTTTGCAGATTACTGGAATGCATAATGGTACAGATCCAAAGGTGGGGAATTGGGCGATAGCTCACAAAACTACATATACTTTTAACCTTTGACCCTGAAATCCTATTTCTAGGCGTTTACCCTGACAATACACTTTCACCAACATACATTGAGCATACATATTCACTGAGCAATTATTTCTAATTGTAAAATACTGGAACTGGCCTAAATGCCTAAACATGAGAAAAAACTGGCTGAATAAACCACAGCACAGCCATACAATGGTACACTATGCAGATGAAAAAAGAAAAAAAAGAGTTCCATGAACTGCTATGGAGTATTTCCAGGCTATATTAAGTGAAAAAAGCAAATTAAAAAAGTATGTACAGCCCTGGCTGGTTTGGCTCAGCAGTTAGAGTGGCGACCTGTGGACCAAAGAGTCTTGGGTTCGATTTCGGCCAAGGGCATGTACCTCGGTTGTGGTTAGTCCCTGGCCCCGGTTGGGGTCGTGTGGGTGGCAGCCAATCAATGCGTCTCTTTCACATCAATGTTTCTCTCTCTTCCTCCCACTCTGTCTGAAGATAAATTTAAAAATATCCTCAGGTGAGGATTAAAAAAAAGAGTATATACAAATTATAACACTATTTGTGTAAGAGGTATTTGTATAAATACGCTTATTTTTGTGAAAAAACATAAAGGATAATCAGAAACCATTGAAGCTGGTTATCTATAGGAATGGATAGGAAATGGATGGGGTAGAAGGGAGAGAAGAGGGAGTATGATGTCTGTGTGTGTGTGTGTGTGTGTGTGTGTGTGTGTGATAGTTTTAACTTTCAGAACCGTGTTAATCTGTTACATATTCAAAAGTTAAATTAACAAGAGTTTGGAGTGAAAACAAAAATTGACTAAATAGAAACATAAGACTGTTGTTCAAATGAACAACATAATCTCACAGCGGGGGGGATCGAACTGATAACTTTTTGGTGCATTGGACAACACCCAACTGAGTCACACCAGCCAGGGCTACTCAATACAATTCTGAAAAATAATCTCAACAGTTTTCCACATAATGTGGAAAACATTATGTCACTTGCCTGTGTCTATTTAATGCCAGTAACAATTAGCATTTACCATGAGATCCCAAGAAAAGGATAAATAGGAAGAGAAAAATGGTGGTACTGAACAAAAAAGCTGTGTAAGTAGTTGGTTCATTTTTGACTTGACAATAAGGTTGAATCAAAGGCAAACATATCATTAATTCCTTCATCCTTCTATGGGCAAAAATAAGCTTATTTTCCTAAATTGTGCCTTCTCCAATATCTTTATTTAAGAATCCTTTCCTCGCCTGGCTGGTGTGGCTCAGTAGATCCCATGAACTAAGAGGTCCCGGTTTGATTCCCAGTCAGGGCACATGCCAGGGTTGCAGGCTCAGTCCCCAGCAAGGGGCATGCAGGAGGCAGCCCATTGATGTTTCTCTCTCACACCAATATTTCTCTCTCTCTCTCTAAAAAATCAATAAAAACACATTTAAAAAAAAAAAAACACCTTACCTCTTAAAAAACAAACAAAAAAGAATCCTTTCCTCAGGTCATTCTAGAATTCTGAACATAAATCTGTACCTGATTTGACTCATTCATTTAAAACAGATTTACTGAACCTAAACCAAGTGCTGGGCCCACTTCTTCACCAGAGACATAGTAGTGAAAAAACAAATTCACAGCCTCACAAAGCTTGTATTCTATTAGGGAAGACAGACAACATACAAATAATAAAAATGTAAATATAAACACTATAAAACAATGTTTAAATGAAGTAAATTAAGGGGACAGAGGCACAGGAGGAAGGGTACATCTCTCCAAACAGATAACTTTTTTTTTATCCTCACCCGAGGACATTTTTCCATTTTTTTGTTCAGATAGAGTGGGAGGGGGAGAGAGAGAGAAATATCGACATGAAAGGTACACATCGAGTGGCTGCCACCCGCACGACCCAACCAGGGCCAAGCACAAACTGCAACTGAGGTACGTGCCCTTAGCAGGAACTGAACCCGGGTCTCTCTGGACCGCAGGCCAATGCTCTAACCGCTGAGCCAAACCAGTCAGGGCCAAACAGATAACATTTAAGCAGAGACATGAAATAAGGGAGACGTGAGAATGTCTGAAAAAATGAAATAACAAAGACCTTTAGGGGTGGGGGGGAAGGGTGGATCAAATCCAGCATGTTGGAGAAAACATGTTGGAAACCCCAAAACTCACTTTACTATATGTGGAGAGTTGATTTTTTAGGCTCTGACAATGCAACATGGTTCCAAGGGCTACTTGCTGGACCAACTGTTGAAATTTTAGATTTCTTGCAACAAAATCTGTCTCACAGTTTACCTATAGGAACAAATTGATGTTACTGTATAAGCTATTTACTCATAGTTTCCAAAAGTGCCTTAAGTTGGAGAATAAACCAAGGTATTGACAGAACAAGCTATAGACTCAACAAAGCAGAAACAGCTGACCCCAAAATTGTAAATCTGCAGTTCCTCTCCTAGCTTGAGGCCAAAAACTGAATGCGTATCTGATTCCCGCTGCGTGTCTTAGTTAGCAATGACCTGCACACTCAGAATATGGTTCCATTATTTAATGCCCTCAGAAGACTCATTGCAAGTTCACCACTTGCCTGTGACTGCATGCCATAATCAACTCATTCTCCAGCTTCCCCCAACTACAAACCAGTTTTGTTATCAGTTTATTATCTCCTTCTCTCACTCTACACTCTAACCCACCCTAACCTTCCTCTAATTCACGTCTGATTCTTCATCAACTGTGGCCCCCAAACCTCTAAAACAGTTACTCTCTATCCATCAACTAATTAATATAATTCCTAGCTTTAAAATCAAACTTTTCTGTCTGGCCGATCTAGCTCAGTGGATTGAGTGTCGTCCTATGAACTGAGAGGTCCCAGTTAGATTCCTAGTCAGGGCACATTTGGGGCTTGCCTGCTCGGTGCACAGCAGGGGGCGTGCAGGAGGCAGCCAATAGATGTTTATCTCTCTCTCCTTCACTCTATCTCTCTCTCTAAGAAATCAACAAAGCCCTGGCCAGTTTGGCTCAGCGGCTAGAGCATCAGCCTGTGGACCAGAAACTCCCAGGAAGGGTTCGGTTCCCGCTAGGGGCATGTCCTTCCATTGCAGTTTGTCCCCGGCCCTGGTTGGGGTTGTGTGGGTGGGAACCACTTGATGTATCTCTCTTGTATCGATGTTTCTCTCTCTCTCTCTCCCTCCCACTCTATCTAGAGATAAATGTAAAAATGTCCTCAGGTGAGGATAAAAAAAAGAAAAGAAATCAATAAAAACTTTTTTAAATCAAACTTTTCTAGGAAACAATCAGTGACAAGGTGTAAGCCTACATCAGACTCAAATTTAGGAGTATTCTTCTAGACTGGTAGGCCTTTTCTCATCATCACACCTGTGCATTTCTATACTTAATTGAATCTACAGCTAATAACTATGGTCTCATGGGTTTAATTCAACTACCCTTTACTGCTCTCAAACACCTCTTCTTTAAGAATGCAAAGAGTCAACCACAAAGCCTTACACTGAAGGGACAGCTGTTCCTCGTATCTGGAATTCTGACATCTCACCTCAACTAACACAGTTGTGTTTCCTTCCTGCAGCAGCCCAATCAGGCCTTCTTTAGTCTTCCTCCCATGGAGCTTGGCAGCTTTGCTCCAGCCCTCCTTCCGGGCCTGCTCATGGAGCCAGCTCTCTGCCTATACATTGAAAAGAAAAAGGGCAGATGACAAAGTCATAGAATTTAGAACTAAACAAGGCTCCAAAATATGTTCAGGTCCCCTAGCTCTTTCTACTTCCCCTCAATCCCATAACAGAAACGGAAGTTAGTCTATCATTTACTGGCAGCCTACTGCTACATGCCAAATACTGGACATTGTGCCTGGTGCTCTGGATAAATGTAATCTTCACAACAATCTTATGGGGCAGATAGTAGTATTTTCATTATATATACAAGACCAACGCAACTCTGAAAGGGTACGTGAGGTGTCCACGGTCACAGGGTTAGTGTGAGGGCACCACGATTTCAGTCGTGGTCCGTCCAACTCCAATGCTCACACAAGCCCTTTTGGCTCCAAGCAGCAGGAAACAGAACTGCAGTTTGCAAGATGTAGTAAGGTTTGTTAACCCTGGGGTCCTAAATCAATTGCTTGCTAATTAGACGGAGACAAGGGCTGAGGCTGTCATTTAAGTCAGAATTTTATCTAGAGGTTGGCTGTTATGTGTCTCTGGACAGCAAGTCTGACCTGCGCTCCCCAGTGCGACCTCCCTAAGAGGCTGAGATTCGGCCCTCGTACCCCTCCCTGCTCCCTTCCCCCGCCTCCCCCACACCTGTTTGAGATCCCCGCCACACGTCTCCAGAGCTTTCTTGCAGTTTACAAAGGAATAGCCCGTTTTTCGCCGCAGCTTCATGAGGAGCTCCTTGCTGGAGGCTGAGGAAGACAGCCGCGGCCCAGCGTGCAATGTGTGCCGAGGCTGGGGCCACTGAAGCGGAACGGGCCCTGCCTGGAGGGGGTAAGAAGGCATGAGAAGCAGGACGCAGCGAGGCGCTCCAGGGACAGAAAGCACGTCCGCAGGGAGGTGACTTTAGGAGGGTCAGGGGCCGCGGGGGTGGGGAGAAAGGCAGCGCGAAGCTGGACCGCGAAGAGGCAGAGGTGGGGGAAAGGGTGCGAAGGACTACGAAATGGGGTCGGAGGTAGGCAGACGAGAGACCTGCAAGGAAAGCAGGTCGGTGCAGGGGCCAAGACCCCTCACCGAGCAGCCCCCGGTCCGCGCGACCAGGCAGAGGTGCAGTGACCGCAGCAGCGACATCTCTCCGGCCGCGCAGCTCTGGCTCCGGCGCACAGACTTGACCACAGGCCTACGGCGTGGCGGCAGGGCCAAACCTCTCCACCGGAATGTGCCAGACGGGGATGCCGCCACCTGCTGGCCGGAGGGAGCACACTCACCTCCCCTACTTGGCGGAATTGCTCCCCTCAGGTGAAATAGGAAACCACGAGACAAAGTCATCACAAAATAACAATACAAGACAGGTGGTAACACTTTGTTTCTTTATTTCCAATGTTCTTTCATATTCATTATCCATTTAAGAATCAAGACAAAATTGTGAGGTAGGAGGGTGGGTTCAGAAATTTGCCAGAGGTCACCTAGGGAAGTAGGGGCATAGTCCCTTCAACAAACCTAATATATATTTGTTGAATGAGCAAAATATTTGTTGAACACTACGGTGTGTCAGGAACTATGCTAGGCTTCAGGGAATTCGAGATAATAAATTACAGCCCTACCCTACTAGGTAATCTAATGGTGAGAAAATAGGGAACAGATACCTGATCACAAAAGACAAGGTAAGTCTCATAAAATGAATAGTTAAAGGGTGTCAAAGGAGAAAGAAATCACATGCAAACAGAAGACTCAGAAAAAAGCTTTTTTTCAGGATAGAGGCTAAGAGTAATGAAGATTTTGACAGATAGAAATAGCCCATCAAGGAAGAGACTCATCAAAGAAAATGAAGAAAGAAGTTAGGGAAACTTGGTGTGGATTTAGGGAACAAAGAGTAGACCTTTTGTAATTTGGCCCAAGGTTGCAATACATTTTGGAAACCAGTAGGAAATGAAGTAGAGGGTAATTTGGGATTACACAGGATAGACTGAGTACCAAGCAGAGGAGCTCATTCTTGCTTCCGTAGGCAGCTGCAAAAACTAACAGGAATGATTTTAGATCATAATAGTTGGAGGCCAGGAGTAGAGGAAGTGATATGTGGCCCGAAGAGTAAGGAGAGTTCCAACCAGAGTTACCACAGTGGGAAGAGAAAAGAAGTGAAGGCAAATCACATTAGGAGAGAAGGACTGACAGGGCTTGAAAACCTAAAAATAAATAAAGAGAAGAACCAAGTACTTAGTGATCAGGGCTCCAACTCCAAAAAGGTTGAAGAAGCTACAGACCAAAGGACAGCTCTGCTGCCTATCCCCAGCTTCAGGCCTGGGAGGACTTTACCCAGTTAGAGCCATGGTCCCACCAGACTATCTCTTGAAGCAAAAAGTGAGTGGTCTAAGGCTTCTTACTTCCCTGCCCCTCAACAAAAGCCTGAGTTCTTTGGATGTAGAGATCTTTAATGCTTGTTTCTTTACTAAAAAAAAAAAAAAAAATCCAGTAGAATCTGGTCATGTATATATTCTGTATAAAAAGACAACAGCACTACTGGGAGTGATCAGTGACAGTCTCTCTGCAGCCACTGCTCTCACATCTCATTTACCTCCCTTCCCCTAAAAACCTCGAATACCCTCCCATCATCATCCTTTGCTGAAAACAAGAGCTAGGAACTTCCTTTATGCTCTAATCCAGCACTGCTAAGGCTCTAGGATTCTTAGCAAGCAGATACCTCCCTGCATCTGCCCAATAGTATCCAAGGGAATGAGGAACAAGAGAGGCAAGGGAAATCCATCCTTTTTGGTCCTTATGTTTCTGGCTTTGGAGATATAGCAGTTCCCTCATTAGGACAAGGGGTTCGGAGAAGCAGAAGGGTGACATTAAGTAGGTCTTGGTTCCCTGTGCCTGGCCCTATAGATGTTGACATTCTCATCCTCATCCCGCTGGGCCAGCTCCAGTTGGAAATGTTGGGGCAGGAGGTGCTGAAAGAAGTTCTCTGTCCCATGCTCCTCTCTCATCTTGGAGGCCAGATAGATGATGCCATGGGTCCCGCACAGGTGTTGGAGGGTCCCCAGCAGCAGTGGGAAGGTAGGCTCCAGATACACGATATCAGCCCCCAGCACCAGGTCATAGTCGCCAGGGAAGACATGCTGGTCAATCCCCCAGGACAAGGCGCGGACCTGGGCCCGGCCTCCAGCTGGCACATTAGCCTGGACGTTGCCCTGGATCTGTTCTAGAGCCAGGGGCAGGTCAGTGATGGTAACATCCCCCCCTGAGAGAGAGGAAGGAGGAGAAATGCAAGTCAGAGGGACCAACAAAGGGGTCTTGGCTCCTGCCCAGAAAGTCCAGAGGCCTCAGGGCATGAAGGACAATGTCTTGACGGCCCGAAGTCCACCATTTGTTTTTTAGTTACCCTACCCTCCATCTTACCCACCACCATTCTCATTACTCTACATTCTATAACATTAACATTCTCTGAGCTAATCTTCAACCTCTCTGCTCAGAACACAACAATCATATGTCAGCAGAAGCCTAGGCAGCACTAAGGTGGAGATGGGCTATGCACCCACCCCCTACTGACACAGACCAGCCTTCAGAGATCTGGAAAGCTTTCCAGAAGACGTGACCTCAGTGAGGTTTAAAAGAGTTAGTCAGGTGGAGCTTTCCAAGCAGAGAACAGAGTACAAAGGCCTGGTGGTGAGACAGCGTAGAGTATTCAAGGCTGGATCTTAGGTAATGTGGAGAGAGGAGAAAAGTGTCAAGATGTGAGTAAAAATAAAAATGATTATGACATGCTAAGGAGATTCAGGCTTGATTCTGAGGACAATAGATTTTAAATGTAGAAGTAGGGGGTGAAGATAATCAGATTAGCATCTCAGCTTCATTCATGCAATATATGTACGGAGCATCTAAGTTCTGGGGAATACAGTGGTGAGCAAGACAAAACCTCAGCCTTCCTTGAGTTTTATTCTAGAGGTAGAGACACACTAAGTACTGCAAAATTCTTTAATCATAACCATGGTCACCGTTATAGAAACAGTGAGTATTAATAATTCTTTCATGCATTCATTGTCGTTCTCATTCTCACATATTTATTATGTGCTTGTATGCCAGGTGCTGAGAATACAGCAGTGAACCAGTCAAGACAGGAATACTTCTGTTCATGGAGCTTACAGTCTAGTGGCAAAAAAAAAGACAACAAAAAAAAACACATAAAATACTCTGCACATGAGATGTTAGTAAGTGCTCTGGTGAAGGAAGCATCAAGCAGGGTAGGAGAATAAGTGCCTGAGGGAAAGGCAGGGAATGTAATTTTAAATAGGATGGTTAGGGAAAGCCTTACTGAGGAGATATGTTTGGACAAAGAAAGATGAAGTGATGGAACAAACTACGTGGATCTCTCAGGCTAAAATGTACCAAATGAGGGAACACAAAGTACAAAGACCTCGAGGCAGGAGTGTGCCTGGCAGGCCTGAGGAGCAGCAGGAAGGCCAGTGGTTAGAGCAGATTAAGTGAGGGGGATAAAAGTGGGGGCCAGATCCTAACCAGGGCCTTTTCAGGAGACTGAGAAATTTGACTTTTAGTCTGAGTGAGATAGGAAGCTACTGGATAATTATAAATGGAAGAAGGACATACACTGATTATGCTTTTAGGATTACTCTGACTGCTGGAATGAGCAAAGACAGCAGAGGGGTAAGGTCAGAAGCAATGACCCCAATGAGATGATGGTGGTTTAAACCAGGGCAGTAGCAATGTCTAGCAAGTGGTCAGATCTTTCTGTTTTTGAAATCCTCACACAAGGATACTTTTTTCCATTTTTACCTTTGGAGAGAGAGAGAGAGACATCGACTGGTTACCTCCCACATGACCCCAACCAGGGCCAGGGACCAAACCACAATCGAGGTACATGCCCTTGACTGGAATCAAACCCGCGACTCTTTGGTCTGATGACCAACGCTCCACCGCTGAGCCAAACCTGCCAGGGTGAGGATCCTGAATATATTTTGAGGATAGTCAACAGAATTTCCTGACAGGTTAGATAAGAAATACTAGAGAGAAAAAGTCAAGCCTGGCACCAAGATGTTTGCCCTCACCAATTAGAAGACTGGATTGCCATTCATTTAGATAAGAAAGACTACAAGAGAAGCAGGATTGGACAGGAAGATCATAAGTTTGTTCCTGGACACATTAAATTTGAGATGTCCATCAGACAAGCACACCATATCCCAGTAGCAGGAGGTTACACAAAGAAGTCTGGAGGTAGAAATAGGCCAGTCAGAGGGCCATCAGCATAGAAACGTTTGGACAAAGCCGTAACATTTAAAGTCATGACATGAGCCTGGCCGGTATGGCTCAGTGGATTGAGCATCATCCCATGGACTGAGAGGTCCTGGTTCGATTCCCAGTCAGGTCACATGCCCGGATTTTGGGCTTGATCCCCAGTGGGGGGCATGCTGGAGGCAGCCGATCAATGTTTCTCTCTCACATCAATGACTCTATGTCTCTCTCCCTTCCCCTTGCTCTAAACAATCAATAAAAACATATTTTAAAAATTAAAAAAAACAGAAAACCATGACATGATAGGATTGCTTGAGAGTGAGTGCAGACAGGAAAGGGAAGGGCTCACAGCACTTTTCCTGAGCCCTAGGGCACTCAGATTTTCAGGTGTGAAGATGAGAAGGAACCAACAAAGGAGAATGGAAAGAATGCCAGTGAGGTGGGTAGAACTAGAAGAGTGGTGCCCTGGAAACCAAAGGAAGTGCTTCTGGAGGAAGGAGTGTCAAATGCTGCAAAGTTAAGAAAGGTGGGCACATGCCCTGGCCAGTTTGGCTCAGCGGTTGGAGCATCGGCCTGTGGACCAGAGAGTCCCGAGTTTGGTTCCTGCTAGGGGCACGTACCAAAAAAAAAAGAGAGAGAGAGAGAAAGTTGGGCTCATAACTGACTTCTGTGCTTAACCACATGGAATTGGAAAGGAAGCTCGGAGCTTTGACTGGAGCAGCTGGAGTGGATGGGGCATGGTGGGGGCGGGAGGGTGTCTGCCTGAAATGGACTGAGGCAAGAATAGGGAGGGGAACTACAGAGAGTGAGTATTAACTTTTGAGAAATTTTGTTGTGGAAGAGAAATAAGGTGGTACCTGAGGGATATGTAGCATCTAGTTTTTCTGAAATAGGAGAAATTTACAGCATATTTATGTACATTATACACACACATACACACACGGTATGAACCAGAGAGAAGGAAAATCTGATAATGCATGAGAAATGTGGGAGGAGAGGTGTTTCCTGGAACAATGTCTTGGAGTAGATGAGAAGGTTTGGTGTGTCCTGACAAGAGGAGGCTTGACCTTAGCTAGGAGCATAGATTCATTCATGGTGCACACACAACATGGGAGAAGGCAGCACATACAGACCCAGATGCAGTTAGGTGAGTAGAACGTGTGGACTTTTACTCTGACAAAACAGAAGCAATCAGAAGAGAAAGGAAACAAAGTCATAAGCTGAGGGTGAAGATAGGGGAGGAAGCATTTGGTGGTTTGAAGGGCAAGAAGGTAAGAACCAGATGTTTAGGAGAGGAGAACAAGTGGAGGAGGGAGGGGTAATAGGCTAGCTGGGTAGCACTTAAGGATGCACCTGAGGCTAGTAACAACAAATTAAAAATGAAACCAGTCAGCACAATTGTGTATATACTAGGAGGGCCTCAGCTAGCCTGGGGTGGCAGTAGCAAGGAGGCTTTCTCTTGGAAGTGATGTTTGAGCTGAGCACTAAAGGATGCATATGCATTAACCAGCTGGTACAAAGATTTTAGACAGAGTGCAGCCTGTGTGAAGTCTCCAAGGAAGGGAACATCAAGAAAGCCTTGATGCCCGGCCGGTGTGCTCAGTGGTTGAGCATCGAACCACACACCAAGAGGTTGCCAGTTTGATTCCCGGTCAGGGCACATACCCAGATTGTGGGCCTGATCCCCAGTGGGGGCATGCAGGAGGTGGCCAATCAGTGTTCTCTCTCATCAATGTTTCTATCTCTCTCTCCCTTTCCCTTCCTCTCTCTCTAAAAATCAATAAAAAAAGAATTTTAAAAAAGACTTGAGGCCCTGGACCAGTAGCTCCATTGGTTAGAGCATCATCCCAATACGCCAAGGACGTGGGTTCAATCACCGGTAAAGACACATACAAGAATCAACCAGTGAATGCATAAATGGGTGGAATAACAAATTGATGTCTCTCTCTCTCAAATCAATAAATTACATTTAAAAAGATATCAACCAATGAATGCTAAGTGGAACAACAAATAGACGTTTCTTCCTCTCTCTCTCCCCCTCGCACTCTATCTGAAGATAAATGGGGGGGGGGGAGATAGACTTGAGGAACTGACTCAAGGGTAATAGGCAGCACAGGCATACAGGAAGGGGAGGGAAAGGCACAGAAAGAGACTAGAGAGGGAGGCAGGGACTTGGAGGCTATGCTAAACATGTTGGTTCTATTCTGAAAGCAACAAGCTATTGAAAGATGGAAGTGGGGAGTGATTACAGTTACATTTTAAAAAGATCACTCTGACTGCTGGGTGGAGTGGACAGAGGTCTAGGCAATGGCAAGGAGTTGAAGCAGGAAGACCAATTTGACTAATTGTGGTAATCTAGGCAAGTAATGGTGGTGGCACGGTCAGTGTCAATAGAAAAACATGAGATTTAAGATCCTATTAACCTCCCACCCAGTCTGGCTCAGTGCACCAAGAGGTTGCCAGTTCAATTCCCAGTCAGGGCACATGCCCAGGTTGTGGGCCCCATCCCAAGTGGGGGGCATGCAGAAGGTGGCCAATCAATGTTCTCTCTCATAGATGTTTCTATCTCTCTCTCCCTCTAAAAATCAAGAAAGAAAAAAATTAAAAAAAAAAAAAAAGATAGTATTAACCAAATCATTGGTTTGGCTCAATGACTAGAGCCTCAGCCCGAGAACCGAAGGATCATGGGTTTGATTTCTGGTCAAGGGCACATGCCTAAATTGCAGGTTCAATCCCCAGAATCCCCGGGCCCAGTGGGGTCGTGCAGGAGGTAACCAATCAATGTGTCTCTTTCACATCAATGTTTCTCTCTGTCTCTCTCTCTCTCTCTCCCTCCCTCCCTCCCTTCTACTCTATCTAAAAATCAATGGAGCCCTGGCCTGTTAGGCTCAGCGGTTAGAGCATCAACCCTTGGACCAGAGAGTCCCGGGTTCATTTCCTACTAAGGGCATATACCTCGGTTGCAGTTTGTCCCCGGCCCCAGTTGGAGTCGTGTGGGTGGCAGCCATTCAATGTGTCTCTCTCACATAGATGTTTCTCTCTCTCTCTTCCTCCCTCTCTCCCTCCCATTCTATCTGAAGATAAATGCAAAAATGTCCTCAGGTGAGGATTTAAAGAAAAATAAATAAATCAATGGAAAAAATATCCTTGAGTGAGGATTAACAAAACAAATAAACAAAAGAGCCTATTAACCAATGTTACCCCAATAAAGTTTAAAAAGGAGAGACCTAAAAGATATTTAGGAGAGAAAACCAATAGGACTTAAATAATGGATATAGGGGTGAGAAAGAGATGTGCCAAAAGTGATGTCTAGGTTTTCCACTCTGCAGATAGATGGTGGTTTGAGTCACTGAGATGGGAAGTCTGAGGAAGAAACAGGTTTGATGGGGGAAGGTCAGAAGATCAAGTTTGGGCTTGCTAAACTTCCCCATCTGAAAGCGCTAATGAAAATCCAGGGACAAGATGGCAGTAGCCTAAACTAGAGATGGTGGGAACAGTAAACAACTGGGGAAACATTAAGGACAGATGACCCATAGGATTAGCTGATTGCCAGGATATAAGGGGAGAGGGTAAGATGACAGTCAGATTTCAGACTTGCAAGCTGAATAGGGATCAAAGGACAAGAAACCAGCCTAGGAACAAGTAAAAATATGTGTTCCCAACTGTTACATGCCTTTCTCCAATATTAGCATAACTGCCCACCTCTCATTCACCCATCCTTCATGGAAAACCACTGTTGACACTTCTTTGGTTCTTTCTGAGTCTGCTATGTTCATACTGTTCACCTCTTTCCCTTCTGACAGAGCTTCTTTTTGGATTCCAGGGAGTCAAGGAAGACATGGCTAGAGTATGTCCACTGGCTCTGTGCATGCTTCACCAGAGTTCTTGTATTGTAACTCCTTCTCTGTCTTCCCCACTAGACCATGAGCTCCTTGGGGTGAGGAAATCGGTCATACTTGTATTCCAATACCTAGCATGACTCTTGGCACATAGAGAACTCCAAATTCTTGGTTGAATAAATGGAAGAATGAGTGCCTACCTCTGGGAAGACTTCCCTGAATGTAATCTATTCATGTCCCTCCAAACAAGGACGTATGAATTTGCATTTATAGGGAGATGACATTGTATTATGTGTTTTTAAATGAGTGTTTTTGGTGTGAGGTTTTGCCTATCAGATTACAAATTAGAGAACTGTTTCCTTTGTAGTTTTTGGTTCTTAACAAAAGTGAAGCAAAGTTTTCCTTACCTTTTTCCCTTTCCAAGTGTGTGGTGCCAAATTCCTACCCCACTTCCCACAAACACACCCTAATCCTCAGAATCTCTTAAGCTTTCTCCCAAGCAATCAAAACCTTAAAAATGTAAAAAAAAAAAAAAAAAATCCTAATAATAAAGTTATAAAGCACTCATGAGGTTAACACCCACAGGTTATTTCCCCTACAAGGTACTGCAAATATGCATCTTGACAAAAGACCATGTCCAAAGCAAAGGAGCTTTTAAGTGACAATATTGTCCATGAAATCACAAAAAGGAAAAAGGTAGAAAAGATTCCTTCTATTAAGGCTTGCTGGATTTTCATATCCTGCCCCCAAATCAACCACCTTGGGTATTCTGACAGCCAATGAGCGCTGCCTGCCACACAAAAGCAGGCGTAAAAAGGGGTAAGGGGATTCCTGTGCTGGTCCCAAATCATTCCCCTCTCCCAAGAATCCAGGAAGTGACCATTTCTCCACATCCCCGTCCCCCCAACCCTCTCTGGACCACAAAGCTCACGCACCCTGCAGCGCCGCCAAGATTCCCACGATGCCAGTCCCCGCACCCAGTTCGATCACCTTCTTGTCTCGGAAATCCACATTTTGATTTTCAAAATAGTTGCACAGGCTTAGAGCCTATAGGAGAAAAAAAAAAACTGTCGTGGGGATAGCTCCATATGGCAAAGGGAGAATCCGGGGTCTGTACCTTCCGTGGACCCTCACCCAGAGCCACCCACTCCTCACCGCATCCCACACCCGCGCTGCCACCCCGAGGCGGGACCCGAAGTTCTGCGTGATGCTCAGCACGTGCCCACAGAAACAGAACCGGCTCCTCTCCGAGTAAGAGTCAGCGAAGAGCCCGACCTCCCGTGGGAACACCGATTCGGGTTCCGTTGCAGGATCTGGGCGGAGGTCTGCCATCTGGCCCAGAGAGTTCAGGAAGCCGCAGCAAGCTCTGGAATCCCGGATCTGGAGCGGGGTGGGGGGTGGGGGACCTCGGGCCGCTTCTGCTGCCAGGTGGCACTGAGCCCCGCCTCCCTGAGTTTGCCCTCCTTCCTCCAGTTTGACTTCCTGGAGGTGGGACGAAGAGCTACCCCTCCCGCTCCGGTCTCCTGCCCACAGCCGGCGGGACTCTCAAGACCACGCAGGTCAGACCCGGCAGTCTGGTCCGAGACCGGGAGAGAGGAGAGCGGCGCGAGGATTAATTCTACCGTAGGAAGTGGGGTCCCCAGGCCCCATTTACCTGCGGGGTGCACGGGTTCCTGCAACCAGGATAGTAACCCAGACCAGGCCAGCTCAGGCTAAGTAAGAGATTGGGTGCCAGCCCGGTTACAGAGGCGCTTTGCTGCACAGGCCCCCCGCTCCGTCCGCCCGGCCCCCCTCGGTCCCCCCGCCCGCCCCAGCCTAGCCCCGCTCAGCCCCGCCCCTCCGAATTCGCTCCTGGATGTTAGGGGCGGGGTCTGCTCACAACGTGGTTGACGCGCGCGTCATTATCGTGCGCCGCGGGGCTCGGTCTCCACGTGGGTTCGGTAGAGAAACGCCGGACTGGTGATCATGGCGGGATCCGAGGCCCCGCAGCCGCAGAAGCGCTACTATCGGCAACGTGCTCACTCCAACCCCATGGCGGACCATACGCTGCGCTAGTGAGTGAGCGGAGCAGGGGGCAGGAAGGAGGGCGGAATACTCAGAGTGGCCGGACAGCGATTGTGCTGGGAAGGCTGGGAGGGTTCAGGATAGACCGAGAGGATCGGCTGGGTGACGTAGGTTTTGGGGGTGGTTCGGGTAGATTTCGCGGTGGGCGGGGTGGAGGCGGAGTGGCGTTCTGGCCAAGTCAGGGTAGTGGTGCAAGTCTGGCAGGAGAAAGAAATTATTACCGAGACTAGAGTGATGGCGGCAAAATGCCTTTTACATCTTAAGGTTTCCTTTGTCTGATTTAATAAAAAGACAACTCAAACCTGCCTGCACCTTACTCCGACCTCTTCACACAAAGCACGTAAACAAAATAAGATCCCAGAGCCTTTAAGAAGCCAGTCTGGGAGAAGGGGAACTTGTGCCCCAGAACTTGTGCCCAGCCAGAGTCACATCTACCCCTAGACCTAGAGATGGGTGGGTCAGCAATCACGAGTTTCATGACGGGCCTGTGATTCACAGGGTGGTTTCCACTGTGTCTTCTAGAGGCCACAGGACCCACCGTTACAGAATTTTTGAGAAACCCTCCCATCCTTAGCCAATCCACCCACGCACATGTAGTAGCACTTCTGCAATGGTATGGCCAGCCTTCTCATGTTTCTCACGTCTTCTCTCCAATAGCCCTGTGAAGCCAGAGGAAATGGATTGGTCTGAACTATATCCAGAGTTCTTCACCCCGCTGACTCAAAATCAGAGCCATGATGATCCAAAAGCTAAAGAAAAGAGATCTCAGACCCAAGTGGAGTTTGCAGACATAGGCTGTGGCTATGGTGGCCTGTTAGGTAATACTCTGTCTAGCCCTTTCTCTAGGCAGGGAGAGGCAACACCTAGGTTCCGCCACCTCAGCAGATTTGGTGGGGGCCATAGTTGCCTTTTCTCCTTCAGACCAGACACTATTGCTGTGACGTCAGTGTGGAGTGTCTCTACCTTCCCTCTACTCTGGGTCTGTGCCCTTTGCCCTGGAGAAGGCAGGGGGCTGCCTCAAATGCCTCTTAGAACTTGGGTTGTTCTATTTAGCCTTGCCTCTGGTCCTAGTCACCACGTGAACAATTTTACCTGCCAAGTGCTGGGTCAGTGAGCTGGTCAGCACAAGTGTCAAAGATTAACCACTGTGGCCAGTGATCCTAAACTCTCTTGGGATTCCACCACTCACCCCATCACCAGAATTCATTCCTTCTGCTCCACTCTCCTGTTTTTGAGTTCCTGATGTATTGTCTGTATTGCCCCCAGATGTGCTTGCCTAAGCCACTTCTCCACTTTTAGATCTCCCCATAGAAATAAGGCATGATGGCCCTGGCCAGTTTGGCTCAGCGGTTAGAGTGTTGGCCCGCGAACCAGGGAGTCCCAGGTTCGGTTCCCACTAAGGGCACGTACCTTGGTTGTGGTTTGTCCCCAGCCCCAGTTGAAGTCGTGCCGGTGGCAACCAGTCGATGTGTCTCTCTCACATTGATGTTTCTCTCTCTCTTTCTCCCTCTCTCCCTCCTGCTCTATCTGAAAATAAATGCAGAAGTATCCTCAAAAAATAAGGCATGACAGCCTGGCCAGTGTGGCTCAGTGGTTGAGTGTCGACCCATGCGTGAAGAGGTCGCCTCCTGGAAGAGGTTCCCTTCCTTGTCAGGGCACATGCCCAGGTTGTGGGCCCAATCCCTAGTGGAGGGCATTACAGGAAGCGGCCAATCGATGTTCTCTCTCATCAATGTTTTTATCTCTCCTCCCCCTCTCTCTAAAAATCAATAAAGAAAAAAAAAAAGAAATAATGGCATGACAGAGGAAGAACATGATACTTGTTGGCAGAAAACTTTGGTTCAGGTTCCAGTTCTGTCTCTTAGCTCTATGACCTTGGGCATTTCTGATCCTCAGTTTCCTCATATTCACAATTTACCACAGAGTGCTAAGAGGATTAAATGAGAGAATGTGTGAAAACACTAGAGCACTTGCAAATATACATATAGTCCCAGGCCCTCCCACTTCTAGTCCTGGTGATAATTTTTGGTTCTCCCCAACCCGCTTCTCCAGCATAGAACCATCCATATAGACATCTCTCTGTCCATGCTTGCCATTTCTAATTTTGGAAGTTGCAGATTAAGGATTCCTTTCCTCTATTGACTCCTTTGAAGTTCCTGCAGTATGAGGTTGATGACTTTGCTCCTATTTCTGTATCCAGTGGAATTGTCACCGCTATTCCCAGACACACTGATTCTGGGTCTGGAGATCCGGGTAAAGGTCTCAGACTATGTACAGGACCGGATTCGAGCCCTACGAGCAGCTCCTGGAGGTGGCTTCCAGAACATCGCCTGTCTCCGTAGCAATGCCATGAAACACCTTCCTAACTTCTTCTGCAAGGGCCAGGTGGGGAGGGGCCCTGTTGGGTTAGGCTGGTAGGAAGGTGGGACATAGAGGCCAGGCTCTCACAACCTAGTTGGTGCATGTCTGTCTCACAGCTGACAAAGATGTTCTTCCTCTTCCCTGACCCACATTTCAAGCGGACGAAGCACAAGTGGAGAATCATCAGTCCCACATTGCTAGCAGAATATGCCTACGTGCTGAGAGTTGGGGTGAGTCGGGAGTGGGAGGGAAGGTGGAATGACTGGCCTATTTAAGGACCTCCTATTAAGAATTCAGTGGGGTCTTGGCCAGTATGCTCAGTGGTTAGAGCATTGGCCTGCCCACCGAAGGCTGGGGGTTCAAGTACCAGTCAAAGGCATGTGCCTGGGTTGCAGGTTCGATCCCTGGCCCCAGTCGGGGCTCATGTGGGAACCAATTGATGTGTGTGTCTCTCTCTCTTCCCTTTCCACCCTCCTTTCCACTCTCTCTAAAAAAATCAGTGGAACAAATATCCTTGGGTAAGGATAACCAAAAAAATAAATACATAAATAAATAAAAGAATTTAATGGGAATGCAGCCCACCATCTTGATGCTCAATTGCATGCAGCCCCCTGATTTTGCCTCTGCAGGGGCTGGTATATACTATAACTGATGTGTTGGAGCTACATGAATGGATGTGTACCCATTTTGAAGAGCACCCCCTGTTTGAGCGTGTGCCTCTGGAAGAACTGGTAAGTTGGGGGCCTAAGGGAAATTGTGAAGATATAGCCCTTTCCAGGCTGGTTTTATATTCTTTGAACCCAGCTCAGTGCCAAGAGGATGGGATGGGAGTCTCAGGGCCAGGGGTGGGCAAAGACTTATTGGATCCTTCTCCCAGAGTGAAGACCCCATTGTGGGACATTTGGGCACCTCAACCGAGGAGGGAAAGAAAGTTCTACGCAATGGAGGAAAGAATTTCCCCGCCATCTTCCGAAGAATACAGGATCCCACCCTCATAGTGGTGACCCCCAGTCCTACCCTTCCTGGTTACTGACTGCTTACCTCACTTTATCTGGACTCCATCTTCCAGTAACTAGAAAGATCAACCACCTGGACCTTCCCAACTGAGACTGCTGGGACTTAGAGGCAAAACTCCCTCAAAGAAGTTGAGGGACTACTCAGGGCCGAACCCTGGTTTTCACAACTACCCTTTTCTTCTCTCACTTTCCTGCCCCTCCATTGCCAGCGGAAAGTAGAAAATGACTGGGAAGATCAGAAGACCTTGGACCAGAAGGGATGTTTGGGAGGGCATGGGATACTGTTCTCCCTTAGCACTTCCTTCTCCCTCTGGGATCTCTCCTCAGCTGGAATGAGGAATATAATTCTCCACTATCCATCTAAACTGCCTGCTAGGCTCAAATCACCTGTTCACTTGTGTGTAAGTTGCAGTCCTGGGGATAAATATGTGGGCACATACCCATGCTGCTATTTCTCAGGGAAAGCGAGGGTGTATATCAAGTGCCTCTTATCCTCTCACTACCTAAGACTTGATCTGAGGAATTTGTGCTCCCTTTACTGGTGGCTGTCTCTGAAGAGTCCTAGGGAGGGTGTGGGGTTGGAGACCCTCTCTTCTCATGTTGACCTTCCATTCCAGAACTGGCTGGCACAGAGCCTGACGGGTGGGGTAGGGGAGTGAGAAGCAGAGAACTAAACTGGAGGATTCAGAGGTTAAAAGTGGAAAGGGGCTGCTAATTAGAAAGTCACCCAAAGGGGACAGAGTCAGCTGTAGATTCAGAGCACACATTTAGCCCTTGCTCTGTCTAGCAGCCCAGATAAATCTCTGAACTTTTCTAATTAGCAAAAGTTCCTTCATTTCTGATCCTCAAGCCCCAAATTTCCATGGCTAGTATAAGGCTTTTTGGCCTAAAAGAACCCCCTCCCCAAGAAACAAAGATGAAGGCTCCAGGAGCCATTTTACCCCATTAATTCACCTACCATCTGCCCAGTGTCAGGTGCAGGGGGTGGAGGAGATGTGGTTGTACAAGAAAATTCTGCTTGAATACTGAGAAGGTGCAGCCCGATCAGCCAAGAATATGGGGACAGCTACAGCTGTGCCTCTTCCCTGCTGGCTTCCCTCCCTGGAGGAGCTGGAAGATGGGGAATTCCTGAGAATGGGCTAAGGGACCTGGCTCCCTGAGGAAGTGATGGAAATATCAGGGATTGACTATCTTGGTCACCTAAGCCTTACTAAATAGCCTTAAGCAGAAAGAGATCTTCAGGCTACTGGACTGGAGCACCAGCCCCGGAGGAAAAACTGAGGCAGGCTTCCCCTCCCTAGAGGATCATTGCAACATAAAACCCAAGGGAGCTGCATAGGCAGCCTCAGCCCCTCCTACTGTTCCTAGGTGATAATCTTAGCACTCGAAAGAAGATTGGCTGAGTAGCTTGGAGAAGGGGCGTGACCACTACCTTGCCCAAGAGTTAAATAGGGATGCGGGCAAGATGCTCAGAAGTGCTGTATTTCTTGGAACCAGACCATGACCCAGACCCTCAAGCTCGCCTCCCGAATGTTGCATCGCGTCCGCTGTGCTGAGCTGGGTTCCAGAGGCGCCGGCTCAGCACCCCGGAGCTTGGCGGACATCCCAGGCCCCTCCACGCCGAGTTTCCTTGCCGAACTTTTCTGCAAGGGGGGGCTGTCACGGCTACATGAGCTGCAGGTAGAGGGGGCCTCTTCCTGCGACTGAATGCTGGGGAAACAGACTAGTGCAGAACGTAGGAGGGAAGGCCAGTGAGAAGTATGCTCATGAATTACAGAAAAGACAAGTTGGGATTTGGGGCTTTGGCTGCAGCTGCACAAAGTCCATCCTGACACCCAGCAGAGGAGTGCGCTCAAAAAGCCCCTTCTCGCAGCACACAAGTCTGGAAACTGGGTAGGTCCAGGACAAGTGGGCGGGAGACAGAAACGCGGAATACCTTCCCCTGCGCTTCTATGCATTGGGGGGGGGGGGGGGGGGTCTTGTCCAGAAGTGTACAGTCCAAGTGTGAACCTTTAGGGATTTTTCCACCTCGGCTTGGCCCAGGTGACCAAAGAGAGATCCTAAGTGTCTAAGCAAAGTTCTGTTTTGCCTGTCGCACTCAAACCTCCTAGTGATGGGAAGTGGGGGAAAGAGAAGGAGGGGGTTGTAGCATTCGGTCCATATACTAGCAGGGAGCTCGAGAATGAGCAGAAACTCCCCCTTCCAGAGCCCAGCCAACGCCCTTGGCGTCGCACGGGCCAAGCTGGGAGTCCCCTGCAGGTCTCCAGTGTCCACCGCGCCCATTCTCTCAGGTGCAGGGCGCTGCACGCTTTGGTCCTGTGTGGTTGGCCAGCTTCGGGAAGGTTCGCACGGTGTACCTGGCAGCCCCTACACTCGTGGAGCAGCTGCTGCGACAGGAGGGACCCAGGCCCGAGCGCTGCAGCTTCTCACCATGGGTTGAACATCGTCACCAGCGCCAGCGGGCTTGTGGATTGCTCACCGCGTGAGTCCTCTCTGGCCCCAAAGCCCTGAAGCCCTGTTGCGTCCCTCTCCTGTGATGGGTCTGGAGACAGTCTGGGAGGTTTGGAAGAAGGGCAGCCGTTTCCCCAGGCTCTGGTAAATAGGGATTTCCACCCCAATCTGTTTCGCAAGCCCAGGAAGAGCCCAGCCTTCGCCCCACACTCCCCTCTTCCCTGTTCTTATCTTCTGAAACCAGAATCCTGGGTACCGGCAAAAGGGGCTAGGGTACCAGAGTCCAGAAGTAATGTAAAATTCTGTGACTCAGGTTACCCAGGAACCCAGGCCCCTCTGGGGCAGGAAATGAGTAAGCAGGAAGGGGGATGAAAAGCGGGTGCGGGCAAGGACAGGTTTCTGTGCCCCTCGAGGGAGCAGATGCAATCCCACTCCTAGCCACCCAGCCTGAACACGCTTCTCTATGCAGCCAGCCACGTTGAAGAGCCTCCACACCCCGCATCTGCCCTATGCATCCCCTTTCTGCACCCCTGCAGGGAAGGCGAAGAATGGCAGAAGCTCCGCAGCCTCCTTGCCCCGCTCCTCCTCCGGCCTCAAGCGGCTGCCCGCTACGCCAGGACCCTGGACAACGTGGTCCTTGACCTTGTGCAGCGACTGCGGCGCCAACGGGGACGCTGTGGGGGGCCGCCCGCCCTGGTTTGTGATGTAGCTGGAGAGTTTTACAAGTTTGGACTAGAAGGTGAGTCCCAAGACAGTTGGGGCAAACTTAGGAGTCACCGGCAGAGGGGTAAGGGTGGGAGTCTCCCCGTGCCCTGACAGCGCCCCCTCCTGGCCAGGCATAGCCGCGGTGCTGCTGGGTTCACGCCTGGGCTGCCTGGATGCCGAAGTGCCTCCAGACACAGAGACCTTCATCCGAGCTGTGGGATCTGTGTTTGTGTCCACACTGTTGACCATGGCGATGCCCAGCTGGCTGCACCGCCTCGTGCCGGGACCCTGGAGCCGCCTCTGCCAAGACTGGGACCAGATGTTTGCATTTGGTAAGGCATAGAAATGAAGTGGGGATGAGGGAAGGTAAAGCTGTTCTGGGGGTAGTGAGGCATCCTGCACCTTCTCCCCATGCAGCCCAGAAACACGTGGAGCAGCGAGAGTCCGAGGTAGCCATGAGAAGCCAGGGAAGGCCTGAGGAGGACATGGGATCTGTGGCGCATCTGACCTACTTCCTGTTCCAGCAGGGGTTCCCTGCCCCATCCATCCTGGGGAATGTGACAGAGCTGCTACTGGCCGGAGTAGACACGGTAAAGTTCTCCCTCCACTTAAAGAGTTTAGCCTCCCCAATCTCAATCCCATTGCAGAGGATTCACTATGGCCCTCTAGACCAAATGGGGTTAGCACCTCCTGGGCTCCAGACAGCTTCATATTCTGCTCTCTGTACTGGTTCGCTACTCTTTTTTTTTTCCATTGATTTTTTTTTTTTTTTTAGAGAGTGGAAGGGAGAAAGGAGAGGGAGAGAAGAGAGAGAGAGAGAAAGAGAGAGAGAGAGAGACATATCAATTAGTTGCCTCCTGCATGCATGAGGCTGGGGATGAAACCTGCAACCAAGGTACTGCCCTTGACTAGGAATCGAACCTGTGACCCTTCAGTGTACAAACCAATGCTCTAACCACTGAGCACACTGACCAGGGCTGGTTCCCCACTTTTAATGCCTTCAATGCTTTCACCTGTCCTCTCAGGTGTCCAACACGCTCTCCTGGGCTTTATATGAACTCTCTCGGAACCCAGAAGTCCAGACAGCTCTCCACTCCGAGATCACAGCTGCCACCATGGGCTGGGAGTCCAATATCCATTCCTCAGCCACTGCTCTGTCCCAGCTGCCCCTGCTGAAGGCTGTCCTCAAGGAAGTGCTAAGGTGAGGGGGAGGGAGAGGAGGAGCTAGAGAAAGTGCTGAGGAAAGGATGGGGGGAAAGATAGTAGATGGGAACCCTGGCTGGTTTGGCTCAGCAGTTAGAGCATCAGCATCGGCCTGTGGTCCAGAGAGACCCGGGTTCAGTTCCCACTAAGGGCATATACCTCGGTTGCAGTTTGTCCCTGGCCCTGGTTGGATCTTGCAGGTGGCAGCCACTCGATGTGTCCCTTTCACATCAATGTTTCTCTCTTTCTTCCTCTCTTCCCCTTTCACTCTATCTGAACAAAAAAATGGAAAAATGTCCTCAGGTAAGGATTTAAAAAAAAAAGATAGTCGATGGGAGCAGGGAGAAAGCAGAGGAAAATGGTACTCTATTGCCAAGAATGGGCATCGAAGTTGCCAGTATGAGAGAGAGGCTAATGGTCCCCAGACTCACCTTCCTGTCTCTCCTTGTGCTCTGCAACCCAGACTGTACCCTGTAGTACCTGGAAATTCCCGTGTTCCAGACAAAGACATTCGTGTAGGCGATTATATCATCCCCAAAAATGTGAGTAGAGCCTATGGGTCCATTTTGTTAAGCCATCCCTCACTGTCTTAGCCCTGGTCTTGTTCTCAAACAATTCTCCATAAGCACTTCAGGCAAGCCCTCCCCTTGGCCTAAATGCTTCTCTCTGGGTTATAAAGGGGCAGTGAGAAAATCATTCCAAAAGCAGCCCCAGAACATTTTCCCATTACCCACCAGAGCCGGCCTTCATCCCAGTCCCTATAGCCTCTTCTCCATGCCCCTCCCTGCATTCCTGGGTTCAAATTGAATTGATAAGTTTGTATTCCTCCTTCACCAGACACTGGTCACTCTGTGTCACTATGCCACTTCAAGGGACCCTGACCAGTTCCCAGAGCCAAATACTTTTCGTCCAGCTCGGTGGCTAGGGGAAAGTCCAGCCCCCCACCCGTTTGCATCTCTTCCCTTTGGCTTTGGCAAGCGCAGCTGCATGGGGAGACGCCTGGCAGAGCTTGAGCTGCAAATGGCTTTGGCCCAGGTGAGTGATCTAGATCTTCTACCTTCTCCAGATGAGAGAGACCCTAACCCTCTAAAGCTGTGAGCTCTTCTCCTGACAAGCGTAGGAAAACAATTAAGACTTAGTAAGCCTAATCCTTTGAAATTTGTCAGTCCCAATATAGGCCTGGAAAGTGAGTGAAGTGAGAGTATTTGGACTATCTTTTTTCCTACTATAATCTCTTATTCTGATTAACCAAGACGTCCACTACCAATCACAGGTGCCATTCCAACCTTGACCATCCTAATACTAATAATGCCCATGACTAAAATTCCCACCATTGTAGACCCCTCTCATAGTGATAGCCTTCTTTCTCCCTTTTCAGATCTTGACCCACTTTGAGGTACAGCCTGAGCCAGGCGCTGCCCCAATCAGACCCATGACCCGGACTGTCCTGGTACCTGAGAGGAGCATCAACCTACAGTTTGTGGACAGATAGTCCCATGGAAGGAGGCTGTTATCACTCTTTCTCTCATCATAGGGCTTTATTCGGCACAAGACCAAGAGAAGTGTATTTCCCTTGAGGCCTGTCTATCTGATCAAACTGGTCAGAATGACCATAGCAAAGTGTTTGAGGCAGCCCTGACCAAAGTGTGAAGTATGCACTCAGCTTGACCAAGCAGGCCTGGAGAAAACCATAGTCCTTCTGCCTACTCAGCCCTTTTCCTGGTCATATCATATTCATTCTTCAAGGGCCAACTCAGATTTTAACTAATAATGCTGGGTAACCTGAGGAAGAATTCCACCACTGACCTTTTGGGGCTTCCACAGTGTTCATTGATGCTGCTGGCTAAACTCTTAGGACAATATAAGCTAAGTAATTATGCATCTAGTCTGCACCTAGTTGGTCTCTCTCCTTGCATGTAAGCTCTTTGAGAGGAAGGATGAGGCCTTATTCAATATTTATATCCCCTGCCAGGGCCTATCCCTAGGTGACACCACACAAATTCTCAGATTAAATCTGGACCATGTGGCAGAAAGGGTGAACAGCTTACTAGGCTTTGCCTACCCCATTCCTCCCTCACCTTGCCTCTAGGAAGGTGAGTCTGCCCTTGCCTGGTTTATGACTTTTAAAAAACTATCCTTGCCCGGCTGGTGTGGCTCAGTGGTTGAGCATCAACCCATGAACCAAGGGGTCGCTGGTTTGATTCCCGGTCAGGGCACATGCCCAGATTGTGGGCCCGATCCCCAGTGTGGGCCATGCAGGAGGCGATCAGTCGATATTTCTCTCTCTCTCTCTCCCTCTTCCTTCCTCTCTCTCTAAAATCAATAAAGAAAAAAAATTAAAAAAAAAACAAAACTATCACTATTATGTTGGCTTGACTTAGTTTCCAGGCAGAGACATCTCTGGACCTATTCCTGTGTATGCCTTCCTTTTTATACATTGAAAATGTAAAATAGTCATAGTTTTGAAATAAAAAAAATTGAATGTTCCCTCCTTGACTTTTGACTTACTTCTTTCCCACTCCCACTTTTTATAAGACTTGGAGGCAAGACCTGCACCCAAATCCCCAACCTTGGTTTCCCAGGCCCTGAGAGTGCTCCATAACATGGGAGGTCTAGACACCTGGAAGAGAGGTTTGCATCACAAACCCAGACATGTTTGTCTGGAGTGGGAACAGCCAAGTCTGGCTCCCTGAAAGAGATTAAGGGGGTAGTGGTGAATAAAAATGGGTCAGGAGCTAGGGATTTGCAGAAATGACCGGATGTGCTTGACTCTGGTACAAGTGTTTTTGGAACCTGGACTGAAAGAGCCACTCTGCCCTCTCTGGAAAAGATGCTCCAAGGTCTTTTCCTTTGGAGAAACAGGGATACAGGCAGAGAAATGAAGTCAGACAAGATGAAATCTCAGTACATGGGTGGCCAGAAGCCTTGGGGCGCCGAGGCAGAAGGGGGTTGGGCAGAGGGAGCCTGTTTCCAAGTCTGCACTCTATGCACCCCCCCCGCCCCAGGCATTGAGCACAGTCCTCCCCTTGTGTGTATACAGGTTGACTTATCTTCCATACAAATAAAACTCTCAGCACATTCTCCACAGCTCTCTCTGGAGCCCTGATTATCCTCCCCATGTCAGGACTTGCCCCTCTCCCTCCTGTTCCCCCCACACCCACTCCAATTAGTTAGATGGAGATGGAGATTTCACTTCACACTTCCTCCTCCTCCTCACCACCTCATCCCCCTACCCTAGACATGACTCCCTGACCACAGAAATTCTATTAGCCACCAAACCTTCTGGGGAGTGTCTATGTATGTAAGATGTACAGAGGGGCAGGTTATACCCAAGGCTCAGTGCAGAGACCCAAATTTGTGTGTCTCTACTGTCCCTTCTCTCACCTCCTTTTCTGCTATACTGAACTTCCCTATCGCTAAATTCAACTTAAACTTAAGTGACCTGTTTTCAGCAGATTTGAGCTTTGAGAGAGAATCAAGCCCCACTTCCTCTCAGAACCTCTTTCCTGGACTCAGTGATGAGGATTCTGCACACCCACACTCCTCACTGGGTAAGTTGGACTGCTCACTTGAGGAGGGCAACAGTTTCTATGACCCCTTTTCTAGACAATGTCTAAGTTTGAAAAGAGAAGGCTAGGAGATAGTACTGATTGCTGGTCCCAACTCCCATACCAAGACATCCAATGGTGCTGAAAGGAAGAGAAATATATTGCCTCACTTGGCCTGGTTTTAAGACCCAGAGTGGAAATGGGAGACAATGTGTTTGTGTGCCTGTGTTCTTGGGATTATTTAAACTTCCATGTGGGGCCATCACGAGGGACAGTGAGGCTTGGCACAGAAAACCCCAACTGTGTCATGCCTACCTGAACTAGAAGTCACTCTGATTTGCTGTCTCCCGACTGGTCCCTACCAGCTATTTTGTGAATAGCAAATCAGTAAAGTGTGGCTCTTCTGTATGCGCAAGTAGGGAATGTGAAGGGTTTTCTCTCTGGGGAAACAATTTTCCACTAGAAAATAGGGGGGGGGTTCTGCCTCAGTTCCCTCCTCACATTGATCCCTGGAAGTGGTACACTTCCACACTTCCAGCTGACTCAAATCTGAGTCCAACTTTGGTTTCTATACTCCTAGGGGAGTCTGGGTGCTAGCACCATGGACAGCAGCCAAGATTTCCCCCCCCCCTCCGGCCCCCCCCCTCCCAGATGGGTAGGAGATAACCAATGCCCAGGCAAGGTTATGTGACCTTTAGTAGATAAGCATTTTCCCCAAAACATCACCAGGGAAAAGGTAGAGCAGAACCTTCCCTGAGAGAAGGACTAATAATAGGAAATGTCTCTGGATCTGACACTAGCAAAGTGGGAAGTAATTAATTTAATTGCTAATGAGTAGTTCACTTAAAAGACACCATCATTCATATAATACACAGCTCCAAGGCCTCAGGAGAAAAGGATGAGGCTTCAGGCTGACCAAATATTACCAGTCCTTCCCAAACTTTTTCTCTATAGACAGCTGCCCTCTACCCTGCTGCCTCCAAGCACAGTACCTTCCAATTAATACCACTAGCAGGGACACACCAGAATCAGACCTATAACCCTGAACTACCATAAGAGGAGCTTAAACTAGAGCTGGAGACCTATGTTATGGAAGGATTCTGTCCATCTCACTCCAAATGAGTCCAAATTAACTTCAGACCACTTCTCCAGGTGAGCACAGTACCTAAGGACTAATAGAATAAAAATGATCCCCAGAACAAGGAGAGCTCCAGCCTTCCCCTGCCCCCATGTTTAGGGGGTTGGAAGAGCTCTCATTCTTACAAATAACCACCATCCTTTGCATTTGCAGTGTCTATTTCCCCTCATATTTACACGTCTATTATGATACTAAGCACATATTTCCAAGGCTCTATGCAACTCCAGATGAAAAACACATTTTGAAATCTGTTAACCAGCTACTATTTGAAATAAATGGACCACCATCTAATGTAGAAATCTCTTTATGCCATCACTGATTTTCTTTGCAATGGCATTCAACCTGTCCCTTCTTTATCCTCATTCCAACCCTATGAGGTAGACAGTAGAGAGATTTTTTTTCTAAATCACACAACTTGGAGGTGGTAGGTCCACCCTTTAGATACCTCTGAGCACTGCCATCTAGCAGCCAACATGAATTATTCACCAGCAAGTGGGAGTTACACCTCCAACTCAGAACCCACTGCTGCATTTGGGATTGGAAACCTTTGCAGAGAAACCTCCCCACACCTCCCAACCCTCCAGAAAAGCCCAGATGAGAAAGGAGTCTCCACGTGCATATAAATGATTCTTTATGCCCTCCCCCCATGCAATGGGGGGCAGAGCAGGGGAAGTCCGCCAACCCCCCGCCCTCATGCAGGGAACGGGAGGTCAATGTATACTAGTCTTATTGCCAGCTGCCCTGTGGCCATGGGGTGGGGAATGGGGGGTCTACAGCCCCTTTCTTCTGGCATTGGTTCCCCCCTCACCAAGTCACCATGGTAGAGCTGATGGGCTGGAGGCCCTAGGAGCTGAGGTAAGGACGGTTCTCTAGGGAAGAAAATCTGCTCTCCCCTTTTGCCCACTGGCTGCCCCAGGATGAGTGTGAGGAGCTGTCAGTGGGAGCTGGAATGTCATCCAAGTGTCTCTACCCATTGGGCAGTAGAAGCCAGACAATGTCTCCAGCTTGAGGCTACCTACAGAGATCCTCAGTGGTGGGGGCAGTGTGCCCCAAACATCTGGTCCAAGTGGTACCTCCAGCAGCCATGATAGCTCATTTCTGGCCAATGCACTGACTCAAGATCCCCACTCCTGGAGTCCAGTTCAGACTGTGGTGACCCTCATGACAACCTCTCGGCCAGAATGGGAACTAGAACGGGCATCTGGTGGCCGCAGCTGTCCAAGGAGGTGCAGAATTGTGTAACCACAGCGCTGAGGCAAGAGCGTCCGCATGCGCTGGGCAGCCTGGGGGCGGCTGGTGGCCCCAGAAGGGGGGCCCGTCCGTGAGGTCCTGGTACCCAGCTTCCCTGCCATCCCTCCCCCTGCATCTCCTCCTATGTCCTTGGTCTTGTCATAATTCAGGACCTTCCACTGCTGGTTCACTGCCTGCCAGCGCTTGAAGATACGGTAGACAGAGGAGCCTTCGTGGACAATGAGGCCTGAGAAAGAGGGATAAGATATCCAGGGTCAACTGCTGCCCAGATCTAGGCCAGAGGTGCTTAAGCAAGCATTTTCCAGAGTGAGGATATAGGGTTGCAAAGGGCCTGGAGAAGCTGGGAAAGGAGGGGCATCAAGATAGCCCTAAAGGCTCTCAATGATAGAAAATGTGTCCATAAAGCTGAGGGAAGTGGGAGGGAAAGTTAAGTGTATAAGTTGGAGAAAGTTGTTCATCGGGTAAAAAGGAGAGAGGTGCCCTTACCTATGCAGACGACATCCATGAAGCCATACATGCCGTAGCAGATCTGAAATAGCAGATCCTGTCGTTGCCACTTGGCTGAAGGGCTGAGTGAGG